ATAAGAATACAGTGGACCGGGCTCTACAACTCAACACGTTCTCTTCAGATATTTATCTCAAGCTTTTCCATCATATGCATTCCTCCCTTTGATGTTGTCACCGCGTTTTCTTGTTGTCTGAACCAGCGAATAACAACTCTACTGTCATCCTGCAACCGCAAGCCACCACCTCCTCCACTTGTTGCAATCCCTTCCAACCAACTCCCGTCTTGTCGCCATTCATTCCAACTGCCCGTCTTTGCTGTCCAGACATCCTCCTTGCTGTCGCAGCCCCGAGACACCCCTCCCTATGCTGTCTGCAATCCCAAGAATTCCTCTTCGCTGCCACCGTCATTCCCACTTGTTGCAGTCGACCTAAACAGCTGCTTTTGATTGTTTGTCGTTGTTCCAGACCTCCAACTAGCCCATGCTTGTTGTCTTCCAGCCGACTAACCTCCATTTTTCCCCATCGCAGTTCCCCACAACTTCTCCTTCCTCCTCCTACAACCATTCATTGCCTCATCACCTTCCTTCTGATGTCCACTCAACAAACCGACCAACACCTTTGGATACAGGTTAATTACGTTTGTTTGTGTATGCCATTGTATTTCCCTTTGAATAGTGTTTGACTGTAACCACCTATTTTCGTTTCAATAATAATATTTGCATTCCTATTATTATTTGAGTTAACTCTGATATTTACAAACATACATGTAGTTGTAATAGCATTGTTTGACTTGTTGTCAATTGCCTTATAATATGAAAAGTTAATTTTTTAGGCAAGCCAATAAAGCCTTAAATGCACCTATCATGCTAATTTAACAAATCAAAACAACATTAGAAGATCATCAACTGTGGTACCCTACAATGCACAAATACAAACATGAGGACGCGAACACGATACGACATGACCAGACACATGACACTTTTATTATTCAAAATATAAGACACGTACACGCGTTGGACATGGTATTACAATATAAAAAGGCATATAAGCCCAAATTTTGTTTTTTATATTTAAACCAACCAAATATTCCATATCACATCTAAAATATTACTATTTTAACTTTGAAAAAATTAAATACACCTTTTAATGCATAGGTAAGGTGGAATATATGTAAAAAATTGAAGTTTAGGTGTTCAATATGTGAATACATAAAAATTGTGTAGTACATATTAAAATCTTCCTAATATAAATTATAAAAAATTGATAAAAACTAAATAAATAGAACATTAAGAACAATACATAAAACATGATAATAAACTTAATTACATTAACTTTCAAATACTAAGGAATTCAGAAATTTGATTTAATTTATGATATAGAAAAGGTAAGCTAAATTGTCTTGAATTATCTCAAAATAAATTTAATATTTAAATAAAAAACAAGATTCTTTAAAATTTGAATCTAAAAACGATACATGTTTAAAAAAAATTTAAAATTTGAATTCATTCATTTTAGACATATGTTACTTCTTTTACTAAAATATTATTTAAATGGGACACTTTTATGTCATATGTCCGTGTGTGGCACCGCATTGCTCCTTAATTAGGAGTAGCAGTGCATCATAGGTTGCACCAAAAGCAAAATAACATGTTCTATATATTGGTGGTCATAAATCCGAAATTGGACTCCGATTTCTTTTTTTTTTTTTTTCTAACACACACCTAAGCTAGTAGAAGAACCATGGAGCTTGATTTGAAGTTTAAAACACATATCACATTATAAGAAACCTGGATCTTATTATGGTGGATATCAATGAACGGAGACTCAAAAAATTTCAAGTGTAAGAAAATGCACAGAGAAAAATGGAAAAGCATGGCCATGCCCTAATTTGTTCTGTCAGCATTACTCAGGTTTTGGGATCAATAGAATCCCACGACCCAAGAAAAATAAAAAAATTGACCCGGATAGATTTTGAGCGTCAAACAAATCGAATGGAGCCATATAAGATAGGTTCCCAAGTTTCAATTTTTCAAATTTCAAAGCATCATGAGTAAATTTAAATGGTTAACCACCATTGCTCAAATGGCGCAATTCCAAATCCTAACCTCACTAAACATTATTTCTTGAAAAACGAAAAGTTGCTCAACTTGGCTCAGGCCGCCAACTTACCACATTTAAGTTACAAGTAAATTAGCTAAGCTGGAGAAAGATGCATTAGATGCATTTTTGTGGTTGGAGAAACTGAAGCTTCTTATACAACAGAGGGAAAAATAAAACTACTACCTGCTCCAAAGATGAAACGAGAGATGCAGCGCAAGTACGTACTAGGTCATTTAATACAAGACATGTTCTCGAGAGTTCATCACCTACAACAACAAGATCTCTCAGTAGAGAGTACAAAGTTGATTTCGAGGAGCTTATATTGAAATATGGGCTGGTGGAACCCAAGAAGAAAATCATAACTCCATAACCGAGAGGATTGAAATCATTTATTGGCAATGTGATGGTGTTTTAACCTTATCAGACATTATAGAATGTTCACACAGTGGCCCTAGAGGCAAAGAGACAACATCATCGGGTGACAACCACATCTTATTGGCAGAATTCAACGCAGGGATCAAGCAACAAAAGTGCACCAAGTGGAACATCCAAGCCGATCCCGTCTTTAAGAAAAACTAGTTCAGAGTGACAAATAGGAGCCAACCAGCATTCCCAAATCTATACTGGCTAGAAAGTGTTTCAAGTATCACGGATTTGGGCATATTGAATTAGATTACCCAAGCAAAAAAAACAAACACTTTCACTGAGTAGGGAACAGTTGAAGAAATGGATAGTGATATAGAAGAGGAAGAATTCAAAGAGAAAATTAAACGACCAGCTGATGAGAAAGAGGCGCTAGCGACTCAACCCTCATGAGCGAAACTCCCGATGGATTAATATTGGATATTCCCGAAGATAGTGAGTCTAATGAGCCGATATTTGAAAAGGACCATCCCCCGTGGAAGAAATTGTCAGGCATCATGATCGACAATTTACTAATTGGGTGATTGCCACTCAAAAAGGTTCAGCATGCCACTGATTTCACTCTAGAGCCAATTCCTCTAGACGAATTTGTTTATCGGATGTGTTCAGCCGAGCACAAGGAGTGGTAGAGGTAAAGTAACGATTTAATGGCTCGAGAGTTAATTTGTGAGATTCTATGTCTATATACGCCTACAGCTCATATTATATCAAAAAATGATGGATACTTATTCTATCAGGATGTGCTTTAAAATGACAATGCCTAAAAGATTGACTTATCAGGTATAAAATTTTCGCCACCTTCAATATGGCTGACCTGAATCCATATGATTGGACGACGGGAGCTTCAAAGGATAAGGTCGAAGTTACCACAATCCCAAGAGACCGAGTCGGCTTCCCAACCATGACAATGGATGACATGGGAGTCATGTTTGATGCCTGGACTGAACCAGTCCAAGCCTTCTTAAGAGTCGGTCGGTCCTCTTAGACCACTCATCATTATCATATTATTATGCTTTCGTGATATCTTAAGGTTAGCTTTCTTGCGTGAAACAGAGGTCAAAGTCTCAATTTTTCCCTAACAGAGTTGTATCCAAGGGTCGAGTGGTTCTCCGATTGTATCTCACTTCCGAGATGATGAATCCTTCCCAGAACACCTTTGCATCCTTCCCACACTGTTCCCAACCGCCCCTTCCTTGCTGCAGCCGCTCGAAACAACGCCTCCTTGATGTCTACCTGCAGTTCTGCCATACCAATCCCTGCCTCCACCTCTTCCCAACCTAGTTTTTGTCCATCCCAGCCACACCAACCAGCCCTGTCTTGCCACCTCGCCTTCCCCTTCACTGGCGCTTACTAGGGAGTATCAAACCTGCTGTCCTACCAGCCCTGCTCACCGCTCGTTCAGCCACCTACCGGCCTTCCACTCCACCTAGTCAACCACAACCATCCTTGGATCGAACCCCAGTTGAGTTTGTGTGTCGTCTCTGTTGTTATTTCTCATTTCGAGTGTTTGTTTGTAACCCCTATTTGTTTTCAAAAATAATAATTACTTTTCCTGCTCCTGCTGAAGTTGGTTAAACTCCGGTATCATAAACCTACTGATGCTAAGGTGCTAAATGATAATACATTGAAAAAAAAAACACTTCAAGATTGTGTAATCCAATGAATTACGCACAAGAATCAGTTAAGGCAAGATAAAATAAAAAAACTGAAGTGTACAAAAACATCCAAAGAGAAGAAAACCTGAAAAATCTTGAAAGAGAAATAAACGTGGAAAAGCTATGTCATCAAAAGGAAGCAATGTACGTGCAACGCCCATAAAAAATATAGAATATAAAATATGAGCCGTGATAAGCACCAACTTATCAAAAGTACCAGCAACATAGATAATTAATTGATAAAATTTCAATTACTAGCCTTAATATCTACCATGTTGTTAAAAGCGCAAGAAAACCTGCTTCCGAGTGTGGTGTATAGTGGATAGTAAGGTCATGCAAAATATTCCAAAGAAGAGGGCTTTACATAATATAAGGTGCAGTTAATACGGTAATGTGTGTGTCATCGTTGCATTTCAGAATGCACTCTGACCCATCTTGATTGAATAATACCAATTCAACAATAAGTTAATATCATCAGCTGCTCATCACACTGCGTGTTTGCCCTATTGCTTACTAGTTGCTAATAATTTCCATGATTAATTTTTTACTTAAAAAGCCATATATCATTTCATGGTTTTCATTTTTATGATGACTGTTAAATTTATGATATATGTAATATTTCTTCTGATATGTGCACTTCAATTAACCAAAACAGGTATCATGTGACTTCACCCTTCAAAGCAAAAAAAAAATTATTTTGTATACTACATGGGCCTATAGCCTGAAAAACGATTCAAATGTAATCCAAAGAAAAACAACATTTATACCAAACTAAGAAAGAAAATTTATAGCCAAGAAAGCAACATAGTTCATATTTATAATCTATAAATTTTTGCAAGTAAATAAACGAAGATTAACTATTGTGAGCATAAGAAAAATATCTCAGAATGCTTTACCTTGTAATGATGAAACCGTTCTTGATTTGGAGAAGTGAACTCGCCGCCTAATGGGAAAAAAAGAATTAAAGCAATCAAATGACTTATGATGCTTCTATTTTTTTCTCAATGTCAAATTATAGAACGAGATTACCTTACCAAATATATAAATATTGTTTTTCCAAGCAACTGCCTGATGAGCACTACGAGGAGGGGGACTATTTGGGCTTGATATTAATTTCCACTCATTTTTCTCGACATCATAGCGATATAGATCACCGTAAACAAAAGTCTGCAATAGAAACTCAACCTATCAATATTTGGTCTAAATGTCAAAATTGGTGATGGTTAAGCCCAAAAAATGTATAAACAAGCACAAATGAATAGCTGAAGAACCATGAAATCACATTTACTCTTATCGGGATCAAAAGTGGGGATCACTATACAGCTCATGTACGAATTCAAAGAAGAAGAAAATTAATAATTTTTAACTAAGACGGTAACAACATAGATGGAATTGAATCTACGATGTACTAACAATGCTTTATAAATAATAATCTAATGTAGTTTAAATGCAATGCATATGGTTCAAAAGTAGCTTGAATAATGTAGTGTGCTCTAGAATGATTCAATAATATGTTATTTCTTTTTATTGTCAATTTTAACCATCAAATACTGAAACAATGTTAATATATTTGACCTAAATTTAGATGTCAACAAATTACTACTTAAACATAATTTATGAATGTTTTCTAAAAATATCAAGAAACCTAAAGGATGGCATCCATAACATTATATACCGGATGTCAACAAGCCAAATAGCTCCATAGTGCTTTGCCTTTGTGGAGTCTCACATCGCACGTAATGATTTTAAATTAAATCAAATCAAAGTAATATAGATACTCGTTGAAGTGGGAAAAACAAGTCCTTTATAAGATTTAAATTGAACAATAAAGTTGCCAAATTACACTTCTTTCTTTTCTATCAAACAAACAAAAAACTTTCAGGTAGCATTAGATACAACACTGAAAGTAAATCTACAAAAAAGAGAAGTCTTTTGAGACAATATTTATATCCATTTGAAAAAGTTTGAAAGGAATGCACCGACGGTTGTACCAACAAGAATAGCAAATGGTTTCTTTTATGGAATGATAAGAAAAAGAGCCAATAGTTAATCAAATAGTTCCATATTTCTTTGAATGTAAGCACAGCTGTGATAGCAATAATTTAGTTATTTAAAATAGTCCCTGGACCTTTTTAATAAGGGCTAAAATAGCCATCATTAGAGACAATTTAAACTCATATTAAAATACTCCAGGGATTAAATTGACACTTTTATTAACTCAAGGATTAAAATGGCCCCCGACAAAAAGTCAAAGGACCATTTTAACACTTTTCTCCATTTTAATCATAAGCTAAGATCTATTATAAAGATGATTTAAGTTTTAAGGAAACTGATGAGCAAGTAAGAGAGAGAAAAAGTTCTTCAAATAGTTTGTATTGACCTTCAAAAGAAATATGAATAAATACCCCAAATAATTTGATGAGTAAAAGTAAAATGCAGTTATTAAGTGTGTGTGTGTGTGTGTGTTAAAATGCAGTTATTAAAGCAACTGACGAGAAAGTAAAGAGAGAAAAAGTTTGTCATATATTTTGTGTTGATCTTCAAAAGACATATGAATAAATACCCTAAAAATTTTGACCAATGCTGAGAATAAAAGATCATCGTAACAGTAAAATGCAGTTATAAGGTGTGTGTGTGTTAAAATGCAGTTAATAAGTGTACGCGTGTGTAATAGAGCAATTATTGTAATTAAAAATAGCGTAACAAAAATTGAATCACAGTAAGACTATATTAAGGATCAACTATTTTTTCCTCCATTTTTGTTCTTTATTTTTCACATTGGATGTAGAGAACCTTATAAAGATTAACCAAAGTGGTGTATCATAATAGATAACACTTTTTAAATGAAAATTTTCGTAGACGTGGACATGTTTATCAAGATAGCCATAGATGGTAATTTTAGATGACAGATTTAGGGTCTGTTTGGGGCAGCTACAGCTTATTGAATAATCTGCTGATAAGCTGATTAAAAATAATCTACTGATAAGCTAGGTGCGGTAGTTATTATAAATTTTAATTTTTTTAGAACGGTCAGACCACTGCCAGAAAGCTGCTACCACACCTAGATAGTGCGGTGAGAAAACATTATTTTCAGTATTTTGAAAACGCATAAGCTGTCAAGACGCAGTTTACCCAAACAGACCTGGTGCATTTTCAAAACACCACCACACGAAATAAGCTGCCCCAAACGGGGCCTTAGTGAGTGAAGCCCCTTCTAAGGAAATATAAAGTTTAAATAATACATTTAATTTAAAAAGTTATACGATTAAATTAATAAAGCAATGGCTAGCTGGAGCTCAAGCAAATTTAGTGGATACGAAATTGATAATAATCAAAGAAAGTGACTTTAAAAAAAGTGATATTAAGACTTAATATGTTTATGTGCTTAAGATCTACTACAACAAAAGAATCATAATAGAATAGAGATAAAGGCTAGTTTGTAGAGTTAATTTTGGATATTTAGATTACTAAGTAGTCAGAAAATATCATAGATACTTGAAGGAGATTTTATAAAGTTGTAATCATATAGACTTCGTACAACATATGATCAAGTGAAGAGAAATAAGCAATTCATTAACAACTAGGTCAAATTTGGTACACATAAGAATCATATCATGTACCTCTATAAAAAATATGAGGGTTGACGTGGGCAATGATACCGGATGAGAAAGCCCAAACCACAAAAGAAACATAAATATTATTATTTAATTTGAAATCGGACACAACGACTCTTCAAGACATGAAATAAATGACAAACAAACACAAAGACACAAGTCTACACCTCGAAAGTGTATTCAAGATAATGGATCCGGAGGCATGGGGACAACTATTGTGAATGGGGGAGAGGGGCTGGCAAGAGTTGGAGGGTGAGCTAAAGGAGGAAGGCAGTAGGTTAAGGTGGTGGAAAGGTTTGTTCGGCAGCTAGGAGATAGGTTGGAAGGTGGGGTAGCAAGCTGGGAAGGTGGGGCAGCAGCTGGGAAGGCTCGTCAGCACATTCTCAGGGTGGACAACGAGCAAGGAAGCGCTGCCAGTGATGGGAAAGGCCTAGACAGCAAGGTAGACTGCTGGAAGTGGGTCGGCTGAGTGTTGGAAGAAATTCTAGGAAGGTGAACAGCAAGATTGGATTGTTCAAGAAGGGCAGCTGAGTGTTGGTATGGAGTATGGGGAGCTGTGGCTTTATTGGGAGAAGGCTGGCAGCAGGTTGGAGGGAGGACAGCAGTCGGCAGTTGTTAGGGAAGAGGTACGGTGGTCTGTTGTAGGGCTGGGAAGCGGGTGGACAGCAGCAAGAAGGGAGGAATAATAAATAAATATATCATCAGGGTCAAGCTACAGCCGGAGCACCATCCAGACATGTGGAGACGATCGCCACCTCAGACGAGGGACGGTCATAACACTACCTCTACGTCAGATACAACCCTCAAAGAGGAAAATACAAAGGCTAAATCCTGATTTCATATATCAAAAACAATACCCCTAACTCTAAGCACATCATTCTCAATTTATAAAAGAAGCTAGACTTATTTTAGGTAATAAAAATAAAAAGACAAAATAAAATATAATCAAGTTTTCAGATTTTAAGAAAGAATTTAAAATAAGAAAGGTTTTAAAATAAGAAGGTAGAATAAGATATAATCATGATTTTAGATTTTAGGAAAGGATTTAAAATAGGAAAGTGTTAGGAAAGAAAAAAAAGAAAAGAATGAAAGGAACAAAAATGTAAAGGAGGAAAAAGGGAAAGGGGGGGAAAAAGGAAAAAAAGGGAAGAGGAAGCAGGGGGTGGCAGCCTCCCTTCTTTGAGGACCAATCAATTCTCTCCCAATCCCTGAGTCAGTCACGTGAGGTTGGGGAAGCTTCAACACAACATGTCAAAGCTTCTGGTCCCTTGTCTTTAATCATGTCAGCACCTGGATCTCACTGTCGACTGTATCGCCTCCTAAAGCACTTGCGAGCTCACCTCCATCTCGGCCCAATCTCCTAGGAGTAAAATATCTTGCACGGTGATGGCCATGGTGATAGAGAATTGTTCGTCACTAAAATCAGTCCCGCTACTCTACTGGTAAGGGCTCATGTCTCAAGAATTCTACCAAAGAAAGTAAATGAGGTGTTTGTCATCCTTGGTGAAGGAATACGTGTTTATAAATCCATCGTGTTGAGTTTTCTGGTCAAATTGTCACGGTCTTCCTAGCAGAAGATGACACGCATCCGTGGAGATCACATCACATCGTACCTGGTTATGCAGCTGACTCCCTATTGGAAACTCTAACAGGCATTTTCGGTCGATGCTGACCCTATTTTTTTTCTTCAACAAAGTCAGTATGGTTGGGACTGCCTTTGAGTCGTAAGTCTCAGTTTATCTACCAATTGAGTTGATGTCACATTCTTGCTACTACCCCCGCCGATGATAAAAATGCATACCTTTTCGTTCATTGTGCAATGCGTGTAGAAAAATGTTGTGGAGAAGCCATTGAGGATCCCTAATTTCTTTGGCCTGCAGAATTTGTTAAATCACAAGTGCCTCTTCCTCATCTGGTGGAAGCTGCTCCTCCTCACCCTGTTCCTCAACTTCCGTGTTCGGCTCATTCGCTAAGTTAACGAGTCGAACACGAACAACACGAACCAATATTTGTTCGTTCGTGTTCAGCTCGTTTTGGCTTGAAATACTACTAATCAATTATATATATCTTTAATGAGTAGTATTTTTAAAAAATTTAATTGACTACAAGGCTACAAAGATTTATAATCAATTAAAATTATTAATGAAGAAAATAGAATAAAAATTAAATCTTGCCCCAATCCTTAACATCTTATGGCTACGTGATTAGGGTTGTCAAAACGACTCTTTGTTCGTGAAAGGCTCGTGTTCAGCTCACTAAGCAAACGAGCTGAACACGAACACACTTTTTGACCTCGAAATATAACGCGAGCTAAGTCTGGGCTCGCTCGTGTTCAGCTCATTTACACCCCTACTTCCCACTCCTCGCTAACCTCTTCTCTGCTGCTCTGCTCGATAAAACACGACTCTGCCCGTTGGGCAGTTAGAAGCTATGTGCCAAAATCCGTGACATTTGAAGCATATTCTAGCGAGCACTGTAACTATGAGGGGGGCTTTATCCCTATCTGAACTAATTTTCTCAACTCTCTGTGGAGTACTCGTGTTGTTGTCTCCAACTATGGGTGGCTACCTGGAGGGTGGTGGTGGTTGGCTCTGCTTCTGCTACATTTCCACTTTCAATGTCAATGTCTGGACATCCCCCAGCGTCCAGTACTGTTGTAGTTGCACCACATTACTAATACTAGGATTCAAGCACCAAGATATCAGGCTGATGTATTCTCCTTTGGCTCTATCAAGTCGCACTCTGGGAACGGCAATAGAGAACCAAAACTTCGACAGATGAAGTCGAAGCGCTTCCAACCCTGAAAGACTGATGTGGGGCTTGGGAGAAGACCGACCGGTCCTCGAGGGGGGCTGGGCTGGTTGTCGGACCCTCCCCTTCTTCTATTCCCTCCTCCCCTATTCCTTCCTTTCCTCCTTTCTCCCTCTTTCCATTTCTTCCTTTTCTCCTTTCTCCCTCTTTCTCTTCCCCTCACCTTTCCTTCCACTTCAACCAACCAACTTGAATTCTAGTAATAACATCCCCAACAATATCGCCAACCCTTTAAACAATATACCCGAGATATCTAAAGCGTTCACACCTTCTAATAATTTGATCACCCATTGTTACATTTCTGTCACTAGAGCAAATTACATTTCATTTATTGAGTTTTAGTTCTACTCAAACTTAGTTCTACTCAAACAAAAGTTTTAGTTCTACTCAAACAAAAGCCTTTAGAACCTCCATAATTCAAGCATAATTCAAGTTTTCCTTAGCTTTTTCTCTCGTCTTATCCACAAGAAGGATATCATCAGCAAAAAGCAAACACCAAGGTACATCCTCCTGTAAATGCCCAGTAAGTTCATCCATAACTAAAGCAAAAAAATATGGGCTTAAAGCCGATCCCTCATGTAAACCAATAGAAATAGGGAAATATTTGGTCAATACACTTCTGTCCGAACACATTGTATACATATCTTTAATGACTTGAATATAAATCATATCAACACCTTTCTTCTCAAAAACTCTCCAAAGGATATCTCTTGGAACCTTATCGTACACCTTTTCTAAATCAATAAAAATCAAATGTAGATCTTCGTTGTTATCTCTGAACTTCTCCATCAAACCTCTCAATAAATGTATAGCTTCCATAGTAGACCTGACCGGCATAAAGCCAAATTGATTATGAGAAACCTTTGTAATACGTCTTAACCTATATTCAATTGCCATCTCCCATAATTTTAAAGTATGACACAACAACTTAATTCCTCTATAATTGGTATATTCTTGTGCATCCCCTTTATTCTTAAAAATGGGAACCAAAATACTCTTCCTCCAATCCTCAGACATCATTTTAGTTTTTAAAATAATATTAAAGAGTTTAGTAAGCCAAGAAACTCCAAAATATCTCAAATATTTCCACACTTCAATTGGGATATCATCAGATCCTACAGACTTTCCAGGCATAGTTTTCTTTAAAGTCTCCTCAACTTCTTTTTTACTAATGTGACGGTAAAAATGAAATATTTTATTATTATTAACGTTATTAAGGTCACTAAGGTCGATCGTCTTTTCCGAAACTTCATTAAAAGGTTTATCAAAATAACTCACCCACCTATTTTGAATATCTTTTTCTAAGAAAAGCACTTTTTGATTTTCATTTTTAATAAACTTTACTTATTTAAATTTTTACTTTTATTTTCTCTTTCTTTGGCTAGTTTATATATATATTTTTCACTCTCCTTAGTATCTAATCTATTATAAGGACCATTTAAAGCAAAATTTTTAGCATCACAGATTATTCTCTTAGACTCCCTACGGGCGTTTCATATTTTTTTCAATTCTCTAAGCATTTAAATTTAAATCAATTTTTATAACATACATTTTTATATCTTATCTCTTCTTGGACATTATTATTCTACCACCAGCTATTTCTAATTATGGAGCAAAAAATCCAGCAATAATAAAAATAAATAGAACTGATGCAAAGGATTGAGAAGTAAGAAAAAAAAAGGTGGACCAAAGTCATTTCTATAAACTGTGCGAAAAAAATTAGTTAAAACACATAATATTGGAAAAAAAGGTAGTGATAGAAAAAATAAAGAAAAGAAAAAGCACACTAAAATAAGCAAACAAAATAAAATATAACATATATTTAAAAATAATTACATAATTCTAAACAATACCTTAGTTCCGTTGTAGAATTCTCCGCCATATAAAATCAGCTCCATCTCCTTCGATGGATTTATGGACAACTATATTACAGGAAAATATTAGATACATTGCAAAATAAAAACTCTTCGCCTCACCTTAAGGACATGAAGTGCAATTTTAATTAACAGATTGATCTGAGTGCGATTATACTTTAATGAGGTGATGAGCAAAGCACCCCTAAAGATTGGATTATTTCAGATTTACTAACAGTGATCCATAAGAAAATCTATACAAAATACGAGTTTTTAAGATATTCTTCTTTGTTTCGTTTTGAAATATGAGGGAGACGATTCCATTTCTCTGAGTTACAGTCAGTTCAAAAATGTCTACTTTACAGATATAACTTCACCGCAAGCTTTGCTACCATGGAAGAATTGCGTCACTTACCGTGCAATTGGATCGAGGGGATGGAGCGGGGACATTCTCCTCCACATGAACCTCCTTCTTCTTGGCCTCCTCCTTTTGTATGTTCCTCTGTCTCAGCCAAGAAGCCAATTGGTTTCGGGAAAAAAAAGAAAACTAAAAAGACAGAAATGGAAGTACAAAAGGGAAGAAGGGAACTTAGGGCGTGTGGCAGATTACAAGGATAGCATCGATGTCGTCTTCTTCGGCGACCTTTTTACTCTCCCTTCGGACCCGCTTCTCTTCGGCCTTAGCGGTCTTCCTCTCCGTCTTCTCCTTTCCTCTTCCGGCCTTCTTGCTCTTCTTCCCCATAACCTATTCACTCTTCTGTTCGGCGAGCAGCGGCGGCCGGCTGCAAGGTGGTTCTCCCTTGATGGGCGATCGGTCTGCTTCCATAAATGTGAGGGGTGGGCGATGCAAATAAACCGGCTGTCCGGTTCAGGTAGATTAATTTTTAAAATTAAATAATAAATTTCTAATATGTGAAATTTACATACTTACCATAAAATTTCTATAGATGTATACATCAAATGCCTAAATTTGATTTTTAATCTTTTGATTATATGTTTATTTATTTGTATTGTAGTGCTTTATTTTGTTTGTATTATGCTTCATTTTACTATATTTTAAAATTGTTTTAATTTTGTTAAATTTAAATTTTATGTTTTATTAAAAAAATTTATTCACCTCAATCTTGATTCAAAAATGAACATGATGGAACTCAAGGTTATTTTAAACCAATAAAGTTAATTAAAAGGAAGCCAAATATTGCTTAGGTGGCTCTCATAAGTTGACTAAGTCAATGAAATGAGCTTGAACAACTTAGTCCATATGGTGAGTTAAAGGGGTTTAAGATGACCTAAGGCATAAAGTCAAGCATTAGGCTCAATGAGTTCCTAAAGGCACGTTAATGATCTACAAGATACTCAACCCTTAATTTTAAATAGCATAACTATGATCAACTCAACATAAAAAAATATATATATGTTAAGGATCAAAATTTGTATATTTCTAATTAAAAGCAATGAAGATTTGATTTTGATTTTAATTTTAATTTTAATTTGGATTTCAGCAAGCAGTTAATCCTTTAGGATAGCATTTAAAGAGTTATTTATACTAGATTCTAGATTATAAATATGAGAAAATAAAAGATTATATGGACCTCACCAAAACTGAGGTCAACAGCGCCTTTAACTTAATTTAATCATACTTTATTAGACTCCATGTATCCTTATTAGAAGCTTAAATCAAGTGATCATTTGTTTAATTTGTTTTAGATTAAAATTTACCCAAATTAAAAGTAACTTGACTCACTTAACCCATAGATTGCCCCACTTGGAATTAGAATCAATTTTAAACTTACGGTCAATACACGGACTTAAATGTATGTCTCCTAAGTCATATCAATTCTATGTTGATTAAACTTGACCCAAATTTAACATCATCTGTCCTTCCAGGGTTAGATTGATCTAATTGACTTTTGATGGATCTAAGTCTAACATGACATTACTCTTGATGCATCGTAGGATCTTGGAGCCCAATAGAGTTTGTTTAGATTAGAATTTTAGTCATAAGTAAGCCTAAGTTAGCTTAACTTGATTAAAAAAAACCATTTGGCTAAATTAGCTTGTGATATGCCAATTAAACCATGTATCCCCATTCATTTAAGCATAGTCGTTCATCAGAAACTAAGTACCTAGCCTAAACCTTGTCTACCCAACCCATCTTTATTAGATACAATTCAGACTTATTCATCAGTTTGGCTTGAGCCAACCTAATTGAAATCATGGACTCACTACCTTAAGTAAATCAGCTAACCTTAAAGATCCATATGAGAAATTAAAACCTATTAGATTTGGCTAATATGGTGGCAACCCATTTTAGGCACAAGCTAGCCCAAATTGGCTTTGATCAAGACTACTTGACATAAATTTTGCCAAGGTGGCTTTGACCTTGTCTTGCACCCATTTTGGTTGGCCTATGGAACCCTTAACAAGCTTAAATGAATCAAATTACACAGGTAGTCTAACTTCAATTAGATAAAAATCAGTACATGGCATGTGACTTATCACCAAATCAGGCCTAAATATTAACAAATTATAGGTTGAAGGCTAGATCACCACATCATATAAATTATTACTAAAAGTTATCTTAAAGTGGTATCTTTATAGAGTTGAAATTAGTCAAATTCTTTTTATAGTTTCCTTGATGATGATGATGATGATGATGATGATGATGATGATGATGATGATGTGAAGCTTGATATTTAGATGCATGCATTAATGATTGTAGGTTTTATATTCACTATGTATTAGCAACTGAGCAAGTCTTGGGCCGTGTTTAGCTGCAACCCAGATTTACGTTCAATAGAATTTAGTAAATCTAAATTTATCAAATCCATATTTAACAAATGCACGCTCGCGAACCATGATGGAATAACTCCCTTAAATCCGTCTATGAATCTGATTTAGTGAATCTAAAATTAAGTAAGAAAATAGCAGAAATCAAAGAACTTCGTTTTAACAGATTGCAAGATTAAATTTTGTTTTATTTTTATGTTTGAACTTCAATTAAATCTTTGGCTCTGGTTAAAAGTATGTCACCAAACACCCCCTTAGAACATAAAATAATGCTAACCCTCGGTAGGTAATGATAATGCGAGGGGAAATGATTTTGATGTGAATTTATTTCAAACTTATTTTTTGGGCTAATGCTTAAAAAAAAAAAACAAATGAAAAAAAAAAAAAAACCAGATAATTCTTATATATTTAAATATCTAACACCTAAACATTTATATTTACATGCAAATCTTTAACATCACATTTATTTAAAGTGAAAAACATACTTTTATGCATTAGTTCATGGCACCAATCTGTTATTAGTGTAAATATAAAACTTTGGTTGGTTGATATGTAAAATACATAAGAATTGTGTAATCTGTATATAAATTTCCCTTTTTTTTTCTCCTTTTCTCTGCCGTTTAACATTTCGCAACAACCAAGAAAAATGCTCTTCATGACTGTCTTCTCAAGTGAATTCCATTACAACAAAACATGCGAAGAGTGACGGAAACCTGCCTGTATTGCCAAAATACACCCAAGTAAATTTCTCCATACATCATTTAAGTATATATACATCCACAAACTTCAAAAAAACTTGGGGTAGTTTTTCAGAAAAATACTGTTCCAATGCAATTTGATCATATGTCTGCGAAGGATGTGACAGTCTCAAATCCATGACAATCTGGGAGTGGTGCGTTTCCAGGACGAACGGAGATGATGACATCAAGGCCTGCAAAATAGTTCAAAAGAAAAATAATAGCAGTAAGCGATTTGGTTTAAGTTCATGCATAGCCAATAAAAAGAAGACTTAACCGTTTCATTGACTCTCTTTTTTTTTTTTTAATGGAGAATGTGTTTTCCCTCAGCAGTAGAGAGACTGATTCAAAATAAAGCTTAAGAAAATTCAGAAGCAATTGATTGAATGGGATGATGAAAAAAACTAACAGTACAAAACAGTACCCCTAAAGTTAAATTTTTAATAATAATTTAATAATTTTTAGATTGCTAATTTGATAAATATTTTATAACTATGTTAAATATCTTATCATAAAGAATATAATTATCTCATTAAATACTTTATATACATCTCTTTAAAAAATAAACTCTATTTTCAAACAAAATATAAAAATTTATACGAGATGGAATTTATATTACAAAATATTGTACTATTTCTAGCTCAACCACTGTCCACGCCAGTAAAATTGCTACGTTCATCACCTCTATCATGATCGTACAAAATATGTTGAAAAGAAAACTCATATGATTGATGAACTATGTTTGTAAAAAATAGTAAGTGCAGACATTCTATAAAAGGATCCTTTAAACACTCGTCACCGAATCAGAGATGATCAATTCTCCACTTTAAGGGAAGGTAATTTTATCGTTGCATTCTCTCTTTCTCTGCCTTCGCAAGTTTTCCCACTATAGAGAGGCGCTCTTCTTCAACTTGATGGTTATTAGTATGACCCGTTTATCCTCTAGCACTTTCTTATAATCGGAAATCCGCTCAATAGATTGCAATCAGCCAAGAAAGTCGTCTAGATCCATACTTCCATCGAATTCAGGTAGATCCACTTTCATGCATAAATTCTCGTGTCCCCCATATGTGGTCACCTTTTGAGCTTTCTCTGATACTGAATTTTGAAGTGTTAGGGTCTATATTCCTCATCACTGATGTCTTCCCTATGGAACGGATTCAGATCCTCGTCCCTTTCTCCCCATCGACTCTTTAGATCTTGATCGAGGGTAATCTTCCCCTGGGTCCCATCATCAATCTCTGGCAGTTTGCTTAAGACGACGGATCACCCGCTGTATCTCATCCTGGGCAGAGTCCATCATGCATCTCTTTGGTAGCATGATTAGAGTTTGGGATTTGTGGGAGGTGTTTGATGGTAGGAAAGAAAATTTCTGGTTATGGTAGATGCTAGGAAATCATATGATAGAATTAGAATTAGGCCACCTCTGATACCAATTGATACCGGAGTATATCAAAAATATGATACGAAAGCAAATTTTTTTACTCAAAACGACGGGTTACAACTAGGATTCACAAACAAGAACAGAAAACATGACAAATATCAATATCCCGCTAGGGCTGTAGGGGGTAGTCATGGTGCAACGACAAGAGAGTTTCGTTGGAAAGTATGAGATGGTGGTATTAGTAGGAAAGGAGTGGGGGTGGTATGAGAGGAGTAGGGGTGCAGGCTGTCAGTTAAAGAAGTGGGAGTGGGTATGCGACCTATAGGATTGGCAGCAGGCGATGTCCAGCTTGGTAGGAGTATGGGGTGAGGTTTGCCGCAAGCAGAAAAGGGTGTTGGTGGGATTTGTGATGGTATAACTAGGGCTGTCAAAAAAGCTCGTTGTTCGCGAACAGTTCGTGCTCGGTTCGTTAATGGGTTCGTGTTCGATTCGTTCGATAAGTAAACGAGACAAACACGAACAATTTTTTTTCGTTCGGTTAGTTAAACGAACCAAACACGAACAGTGATGCGTTCGTTCGTGTTCGAATCGTTATTGTTTGAAATATAAAATAATATAAAATAATTATATATAAAAAATTTATTATATTTTAAAACATTAAATTTTATAAATTATAATATATAATAAAATAATAATAATAATATATTAATATACTATAGTAGTAATATACTAATATAGATATTGTATATTTATATAATATAAGTTATATAATTAATATATAATATTATTTTTATATATTAATATTAGGGATGTCAAATTGGCTTGTTGTTCGCGAACAGCTCGTGTTCGGTTCGTGTTCGGCTCGCTCATTAAGAAACGAACACGAGCTTATTTCAAACAAACTAAATTTTAAACGAACCGAACACGAACACAGGCTTTGTTCGTTCGTGTTCGGTTCGTTTACACCCCTAGGTATAACCAATATGAAACGAAAGGAGCGACGACTGGAAACCGGCAGGGGTGGCGGGGGCGGAAGGTAGCGAGCATGGGAGAGAGATCTGTGGGAGATTAGGTAGAGGTAGTCATCATCTCAGAGCAAAATAGAGGCAGAGTACCACCTATATTCGAATACAACTCTAGCAAGGGGAAATAACCTGAAGGTAGAATTATAAAATCAAAACAAAAACTAAATCCTAACTCAATAAGCAACATATTTATAATAGGTAGATAGGAGGAAGGGGGTAGTTCCCGCCTAAGAGTTGGTCGGCCGTCAAGCCTCCCTGTTGGTCTAGCTCCCCCAATTCAGAACCAAATGGTTTAGCTAATAATCTCCGCATCTATGGTTAAAAAAGGCAGCAAACATAAGCACTTGGTTGACCTGATTCATTCCCTAGAAGCACACATATCACTGCAATTAATTTTAAAATGTCCCATTTACAGATTATTAGTTGCTTCAATGATTTGACCCACCTACTCAAAGCGGCTTTAGACTTTATGATATCTGCATTTACTGTATCATTATGTATTTAAAGGAGAAAGGAATATTCCTATTGAAATTTGACAAACTTCCATTGATAAAAAAATAGGGCATTTACATACATACCACCCAATTCATATGTATTTGCATATCTAACACCTGAACTTCGCTTTTTTTTCTTTTATACCACTCAAAGTTTTCATATCACATAAAAAATATCACTATTTCGATTTTTAAAAAGTGAAATGCACTTTTTCAAGCACAGATAAGGTGGAATTTAGGTAAAAATTAAAGTTTAGGTAATAGATATATAAATAGAGAAGAATTGAGTGGCATACACGTAAATATTCCTAAAATGCATGCTTTGATACCTGAATTAGTTACGTACATTGATTTATACACATGTACTGATGTACAAAAGAAAAAAAAAACGCACACCATACTATAACTGTTAACCATTTCTTTTCCTAAGAATATAGCTGCATTGTATTGTATGTAAATCATTGTAACTGTATCTATGTTTCAAATGCGCGCATCAAGCATAAATAAAATATAAATTTTAAGAAAAATTGGTGGATGAAGTTCAAAATAAATCTACCTGCAGCCTTTGCAGCAACAGCTTCCTGGTAAACGTCTGTTATAAATAAGATTTGTGAGGGTGCATCTACTCCGACAGACTGCGATATCTCAAAATAACTCCTTGTTTCTCGTTTGTTTCTGGAGAGGTAAGAAAAGAAATCATGGAAAACCCTTCAGCCTAAGTAAGCAAGGAAAAAAAAAGTACAATAACAAAATAGCAGCATAATTTTTTTCCGGGAGAAAGAAATCTGTCGGTAGTATACGTGAAGAATGCAATTGAATTGAAAACCTACCCGGTTGTGGTGTCAAAAAATCCACATAAATACTTTCTCAAGTCCCCATGTTCTGAATGTCCAAAGAGAAGCCTCTGAGCCTCTCTACTCCCACTAGAATATATGTAAACCTAAATGTATTTGCTGCTTCTTAGTTATTAGATGAACCTGATAACAATAATTTGAACAAAACAAACAGAGGAATACATTTGCTAAAGACATAAAGCGTTAGGTGAAAGGGGAATCCATGAGCACGAAGACCAATTTGAAAAGAGTCCAACAATGTGGCGGAAAATGCAGAATAACATTTTTGGTTTAGTTGTGAGATATGTAAATACGTAAGAATTGTGTCCAACTTATGTAAATTTCCCTATAAACTATCACACAGAAGTTCAGAGAGAAATCAACAAGTCACATCATAAAAAAAAAAGGAAACAAGGACAAATCAGATGAGCAGAATCAGGCTTGCTATGCGTAGAACCTAGAAGCTGCAATAAAAGAGCTAACATAGAGACAACATCACAGAAATAAACCACAACAGCAACAGAGAACAATCTAGGAGCAGCAAACTGCAAGAAGAACAAAAGTGTAGCCGAATAACAGTTGTACAAAGCAGACCGGATAATGAATTTTAAGTAGAAGAAAAGAAGAAGAAAGGAGGAACCGCAGCCTATATAAACCGCCTTCAACAACATAACATATAATACAAGTTAACAAATCAATTAAAGCATATTCAAACCCGAGCCAACCGAGATGTATAAAACAACAACATTGAAAGGAATTCCATGATGATTAATGTAATGGGCCTAGCATTTTCCTTCATACAAAAGGAAAAACATAAAAGCTATTTCTGAATAATAAGAAAAGAAGAAAATTAAAACTAAGAGATTTAATAACTGAGTTTTTTTTTCTCTTAAAAAAATCACCAGCTTAGCCCCAGGAGATGGAACGTTGTTAACAGCATGGATTATTTTTCTTCCTAATGAGATCACCATGAAATGGAATGTTGTTATCTATGGATCATTATAAATAAAAAGCTGTTATGTATATATTGTTGAATATTAGTTCAAAATTCCTTCTCAAGCTGAATTGTATATATTGATCACATTCAGATTGTTAATTAATTATCAAATCTCATTTTGGGTAAGGCAGTAATGTGAATATTATAATTTGAAAGTTTGTTGAAACATGATTTAATTGCACTAGCCCATATTCATTATTTCTGAGATGAAATGTTGATCTATCTTAATGTGCAAGAAATTACACGGTGGATAAGAAATTTTGTAATGATTAAGATAGCCTGGTTTTTATAGTACAAATTCAAACTTTTTTCACCTGATAATTTAGCTCTACTAAAAATCTTTTTAAGCATTACTTAAAAGATACCAAGTGCCATTACAATTTTTTAAAGCACTTAATCTATTTATAGTATTAATTACTCATGTCATATGCATATTTTGCTTCTACGATTGCACACTACTAATAGCACCATTTGCGTTGTCAACTGTTGGGAGAGAAATGAGGAAATTATGAAAACTAATTCGAGAGATCCGAAGCAAAACATTTAACAGAAGTGCTCAAAATAAGAAAACCACAGAAAATACAAAGAGCACAATATTTACTATGAAAATAGTCAACGAGAAAAAAAAACACGGAGCCACACCACATTCACTATCAAGAAAATGAGGAAAATTATACAAATTACGCTACACTCAAGCCTCTCCACACTTTAAAAAACTTTAGGACACCCTTCTCCTTTACACAAAAGAATACTTGAAATCCATCGTCAACAAAGACGACAATAGTAGGAACTTTCCGAAAACCGGTTACAGGAAATGAGCTGCTGCGATATGGCGCGACAACACTCCAATAGGTGTTGGGGAGTTGCATCAGAGGCTCTATAGGGTTGCGCTCTCAGGCTTTGAATATGAAATGGGTGTTGCGGCACTGTCGGTCTTGGCGTTAGAGAGCTGCATCTAGGCTTGGCGATGCTCCCCTCAGAGCATTGGAATGTCATGCTTTCGAGTTTTGAAGTTGCATCGGGCATAGATATGCTGCCTTCTAGGGCTTGAAGTGTTGTGTACGATAAAAAAAATTCTAGAGACACTGCTCCTAAACCCAATTCAACAGGGACCCCAAAAAAAATAAAAAAGAAAAGAGCACAAAATGGAGAGATCCAAAGCAATTGTGGAAGCCGATTCGAGAGACCCAAAAAAAACAAAGAAATGGAAACCAATTCGAAAGATTCAAAGCAAAGCTTAAGAGCACAAAATAAAAAAAAACCACAAAAAATGTAAATAACACAATATTTAACATGAAAAAACCCGATAACCAGAAAATACTACAGAGTCATAACACACCAAGAAATTAACTATAAAAAAAAAGATAAGAATTGTACAAATTATACTAAACTCAAGGCTATCAATACTTTGGAACACTTCAGAGCAATATTTTCCTTAGCACAAGAAAAACCTTGAAATCCACCCGACAAAGATGACACAATAAGTAGAAATTTTTCAAATATCGATTACGGGCGTCGGGCTGCAGCAATATAGCGTTGCAACACTCCAACAGGCATCAGAGCACTGCAGTGTAGCACTCTCGGGTTTTAAATATGGACTGGGCTCGACAACATTGTTGGTGTCGAAGCTAGGGCATTGCATTTGGGCTCTGTGACGCTCCACTCAGGGATCTAGAGTGTCGTGCTCTTTAGTTCTGAAGCTGCATCGGGCATGGCGACACTGCCTTCTAGAGCCTAGGACGTTGTGTACAGTTAAAAAAATTCAAAGGAAATGTGATGCGGGGCTATGAATGGGGTCGGCTTAACCAACCCCTGAAAGAGTCTGGTTCAACCCCTGTTGACCTCAATTTTCGTGAGGTCTAGTATTCCTCCTAGGGTTTAGGATCTAGCCTTAGGAATCTCCCTTCGACTATCGTAGAACCTTAGAAGTGGGACCCGCCTCATTCTAGAAATTCAACCCGCTTCCGTCCCCTTCTGATCCGGCCGATCGCCGCAATTCGCATTGTCTGCATTGTTACTTGTCGAATGCTCAAGTAAACATTTTGGGACAATCGATCGCGGGTCAAAATTTTGTAAAATTTAAATTTCGGCGCGTTTTGACCCGATTGTCGACGACGTCGTCCGAGCGACCCCGGATGACGAAACGGACTGCGCCAACGCGTCCGGAACATCGATTTTGCCCGGGGAGGACACCCATTTTGTCGCGTCGCCGCGCGCGAGTAAATTGTGTTTTAAT